CCTGAAATATGAAATTGTTCAGTAATCTCATTGCTAAAACTTGACATTATGATCAAAATCAATAGGGGGATAATAACTAAATGTGCTAAAGAGTTTTCATCTGCTAAAGAGACTGTTTCAAATGCTTTACTTTCCTGCATGGCAACACACACAGACAATGCTGTTCCTTGTGCTTGTGTTCAGTGATTGCCTGGTTTGAACCATGAACGTCTTTTAGCCAGTCTCCAAGAAGCAGAAGTAACACAAACTCAGGAAGTGTGCACGGCCAAGCATGGCCAAGGGCCAAATATGCCTTTGGTGGCTACTTGGGGTTGTGTTTTCCCCTGAAGTTTATTTGTGTCACATGAAAGTGTCTGAAGTTTGTATTGGGTCACAGTGTACGACAATATCTCTGCTCTGGCCTCGGTGGGTCCCAGTTGTAAGAATCACTTTGCAAAGAGTGGAACAAGGTTCTTTGATTTCTAGGAAATTAATAGGATATCCAATTAACGATGCTGTGAGTCATTATGAAAACAAGAGAAAAGACTATGACAACAAAAGACTCTATGACAACAATATTTGACATCTGGTGGCTGCAAAATATATTTCACTCCCACCCATCATCTTGTCCTATGTCCGTGCATATTACAGTTTTATAAAATCAAATAAAAATTATTTCTTCCGGCCAGCTAAATAGCCTGATAAGATTGAGAAACTCAGTTCTTGCGAAGTCCATTATTCATGGCAAACGCCAGCATGTGAGTAATTCCCATCTGCTGAGCGGCTGCAGTTCAGGCCACAAAGTGCAAAGTCCACTTAAGCGACTTGCAGTTAGCTCTGGGCCCACTATTACTCATTAAAGCCAAGCTGGAGCCTTAAAGGAACAGGAGCCCTAGGGAGTTCTCAGCTTTGCTCCCCCCACCTCTACCCCTGTGCTCCGTCCCTCCCTGGCGAGAGGTCCTCCAGGGATGAAGAATTCTGGGTGTCCCTCCGTGTCTCCCTGCATCCTCTCCCTGCACTGCCTGCGGTAGGGTACCAGCGTCTATCCTGGGGAAACTTACTATGCACACCTTCATTTATTAGAAGTGAAAGTATGGTATTCCTCAGTTTAATGAAAACACCATCCCTATTGTATAGTGCGTGACGATCTTTAAAATATCCTTGTTATATAGTGTGATGCAGTATTTTATGTTCCAAAAACATAAGGCCTTTTCTTAGAAAATCAATTCCTTGTGTGTCACATATAAAATGTGTTTGGATCCCTGTGTCTATCTCCTGGGCATCCCTGTGGCTTCTAGGTATCACAAGGCTGTGAGCCTATAAACTGAGAAGACTGGATGTATTAATCAAATCCATTTCTTATCACCCATTTTAAAGTTTTGTAAAGTCATTGGAAATCTATGTTCAGCAGGCTGTTCTCCTCGGTGGCAAACTCTTTAGAGGTTGAGGGGGAAAGGCTCATTCTTTTTTTGGAGGCAGTCCACATGTAACATTTAGGAGGATCCTAAAAAAAAAAAAAAAACTATTAAAATCACCACTGACAGGTCATAGGTATATTAAATCAGTGTCCTGCTTATTAACTAGGGATTGCCCAGATAACACTGTGGTGATTGCCTTTGAGTCTTCTAAACCATGCAATCCCTATAATTATTTAGGGCCCTTAAAGACTTTGGATCCCCCCATATATGTGAGACACTCATTCATCTTTCCTGTAACATCAGCCTCATTCCTGCATCTCTGTCCTAATAGTGTTGCAATGATCTCTCTCATCTTGCTGTCTCCATCTTTTCTTGTGTTGAAATCCATCTTCCACACTCTACCTACTGGTAGCATCATGTCTTTCCTCTGCCTAGAATCTTTAACAGCTGCCCATTGCCTTCAGAGTAAATTCTAAGTTTCTTAAAATGGTTCACAGGGCTCCATGCTCACCACTCTCCATTTGATATGTTATAGTCTTGGAGTCCCAAGTCTCTGAGCTTTCTTCAGAAACTATAGAAATAGTTGCATGTCCTGGGAAGCTCTTTGTACTCTTTTCTTGTTTAATTCTTACCTACCAAGGTTCACCATAGGCAGTAGCTATTCCATGAGGCCCTCACCCACCCTCCAAATATGACTGAGACCTCCTGCCTGTGCTCACACAGCAACTCTGGCATGTCTGAATGGATGAGGACATGCGTGCAGGCCTTCTGCTAGAGAGAAATGCAGATCTGATGCAGATGATCAATTTGACCATAACTCTTTGCTCCTTGTGCCCCTGATGCCAACAAGTCAAATTAGAATATTAAGGCTAACATTTTATTCCCACATTATATTAGACCCATTGTTTCATGGGGTGCATAAACTAATCATCTTCAAAAGATCCGCTGGTAAGGTATACATGATTAAAAGAAATATTTGCAATGTGTTCACCGTTGCCATAATTTGTTCATGCAACTTCTGAATTTCTTTTTCTAATTCCTTACTTTATATTTTACCATTAACTTACCTAATTTCACTCCAGTACTTTAGTTTCCTGAGCTCTAATCTTCTTCCACACTTCAAAATGTTTCCAAATGCCATTAATACTTAATCAGAAATATCCTGCTCATGGTGAGAGAAATATGGAAGATTTCTGTAGTATCCTGTTACACAATGTGTTGTGGATTGGCACACTTTCTCTGCAAAGGGCCAGGTTATGTTAATAAATATTTTAGGGACAATTGCTCAGCTCTGCAGTTATAGTAGGAAAATAGCCATGGACAGTAAGCAAGCAGATTAGAGTGGCTATATTCCAATAAAACTTTATTTACAGAAATAGGCAAACTGGGACCACAGTTTGTCAACCCCTAGGGTCATTTGGAGACTTTTTGCAGTTGAAGAAGATTTAGTCAGGCTCTGTTCAGGCACAGAAACATTTTCCAACTGTGCATTGTCCTGAGTACAGGCTTTGAAGGCTACTTGCCCCACACTACATAATGCAGTTTTATCAGAGACGGAAGCTGAGAGAATATGATTATTTAAAGCTGCATTTGCTTTCATAACAACTCTCCCAGCTCAGCACACCAAGAGTTACATCCTGAATGAACCTGCAATTTCTGGATGAGGCTCTGGCACTAAACAATGAGAGTTATGAAAGTGTTCATGCTCTTTAGCAATAGTATAATTTTTACAAAATATCCCACAGAAAGGACCTCAGGGGAACAAAATTGGTGTGCCCAGTGGTATTTAGAAGACAAATGTTCATTAACATTAAAAATTTAAAGTAATCCAGTTGGGAAATGGAACAATAGCATGGAAGATGACTGTAGAATCTCTTTTATGATAATTATGTGGCTTGTATTGATCTTTGGAAATGTGCACATTGAAGATTACAAGTGAGAAATGTCCAATGCAAAAAATATGTTTATATTATTTCAAACATGTAAAAATCGATATGTATGAAATCTGTTGTTCAATATTCAGCAAATGTCTTTTGAATAAGAGCCTACTATAAGTAAGTTTCTGCTCTAAGCACTAGGAACACAGGAATGAATAAAATACACCAACCAATATGGAGCCAATATTCTTATTAGAAGGAGACAGATATTGAAGATCAAAGGGACTCCACTTAAAATAGTTAGAATTTTGATACCATGAGATTTTTTGTCCTATTGATAAAGCTGCTTATATAAAAAAGCTTTTCCACCTTTGTTGTTTTTGTCTTTTAGGAATGAGAATTTTCTGATAATTTCTTTCCACCAGAACTTGTTTGGTTCCCTCTGTGTGCCAAGTTCTCTTCCAGGCACAGAATATGGTGTCAAGAGAACATACAAACCCCTACCCTCGTGGAGCTACACTCAAGAATGAGACAGGACATAAGATAAAGAAGTAAAATATAGCGAGGCTTACAGGTGACTCAAGGACAGAGGTGAAGGAAGAAAGCAGGATATGAAATGTTGGGAGAAGGGGAATTTTAGATTAGGTGATCAGGAAGGACTCCCTGAGAAGGTGGCTTTTGATTAAATAATTCAAGAAAAGGAATGATGTAGTGATGTGGATGTGTAGACGAAGATCATTCCGGGCAGAGGGACAGTAAGTACAAAGGCCCCAGGACGGGAGTGTGCCCTGAGTGCTTCAAGGAGCATCAGGGAGGCCTGCAGCTGAGCGTAGCAGGAAATGAGATGCAAGACTGTCACCACACGCAGTCTTTTAAGTCACTGTAAGAATGTGGATTTTAAATCTGAATAACGGGAAGACATTGGAGAATTCTGAGCAAAAGAGAGAGATGGTCAGGATTGCATTAAAATAATTCCTGCTGTTGAGAATAGGCAGCAGAGACAGGGGGTGTTTTTAGGAGGCTGTTGCAGTAATCCTGGAGAGATGATAAACATCTCAAGACCTGCAGACACAGAGGGGAGGGGCGGTGATCAAGGTGATCAACATTGCAGGAGCCAATGTTCCCACTGCCAGAGCCCGCCTGCCACTAGGGTGAGATCACTCAGGAGCAATGACCATTCCTTACCCATTGCTGCATCCCCAGTGCGAGGCACAACATCGGGTACATTCTAGGTGCTTAATTTAGGTTGGTTAAATGTTGCAAAACAAAAAGAAACGTGAAACCAAATATCTATTCCATGGCTGCCTCCTGTTACAAAGCACTCCTCACCACTCTTGTCCTCCATTGTGTTCATGTATTTATTGATGAATTAGCACCTTCAACATGTGTTGATATTCTAAGAATACTTCAGTTTTTACTGACCTACATGAAGTTATAGAATAGTAAAGATTCCATCTAACCATTTCTTTCTGTCTCATACCTTTATGAACTGAAAGTACTGTTATTGCATTTTATTTTTATTTTTGTTGTTTTTTGTTTGCTTGTTTTCTTGTTGGGTATTTATTTTATCATCTTTTTTAATCTCAAGAGATTTACAGGGTACAGTGTTTTTTGATACATGGATGAATTGTATAATGCTGAAGTCAGGACTTTCAGTGTAACCATCACCAGAATAGTGTATAAGCTTAAGACTGATTGTTGCTGAATGTTTTTTTTTTTTTTTCAGGGAACAACTTAATTCTTTATTGAAGACCTATAACATATTTTATGGGAACCAGAAAAATCTACATATTTTATATGATCAGGTAAGATCATAGAAGAAATACATGTGGTTTGATTCACAAAAATATATGGGAGAGAAACAATGGAATGTTTAACTTGATTATGATTTTTATTTTTAGACTACATCACAAAAATCTCAGGCTTGGGACATTTGTGACTTTCTAGGCATTTTTGAGATAGGAAAGCATTTTAAAAGATTTTTTTTTTGAGACAGAGTCTCACTTTGTTGCCCAGGCTAGCTTGAGTGCCGTAGTGTCAGCCTAGCTCACAGCAACCTCAATCTCCTTGGCTCAAGCAATCCTCCTGCTTCAGCCTCCTGAGTAGCTGGGAGTACAGGCATGTGCCACCGTGCTAGGCTAATTTCTTGTGTGTGTGTGTGTATATATATATTTTTTCTTTTCTAGTTGGTCAATTAATTTCTTTCTATTTTTAGTAGAGATGGGGTCTCGCTCTTGCTCAGGCAGGTTTCGAACTCCTGACCTCAAGCAATCTGCCTGCCTCGGCCTTCCAGAGTGCTAGGATTACAGGCATGAGCCACCACGCCTGGCCTAAAACAATTTTAATGACATGTTCTGTTTTAAAAATGGAGTATGAATATCTTTTGAAATAGTAATTCCACTAGAAATCTATCATAATACTTCCTTACAAATGCACCAGGATGCATAAAGAAAGATGTTCTTTGAGACATCATTTGTAATGGAGAAAATTTGAAGATATCTTAAGTCTCTACCAATGGTGGATCATTCAAAACCTGACATATCTGTAACATTGAGTTTTTAATTTGGTTGTTAAAATGAATGAGTTAGATTCAATCACTGTGTACTATATCATAATAATTCTTCAACATGTGTTGATTACTAAGAATGCTTCAGTTTTCGAGGACCTATATTAAGTTAAAGTGATAAAACAGTAAAAGTTTCATTGAACCATTTCTTTCTATCTCATACCTTTATGAACCAAAAGTACTGGTATCGCATTTTATTCTTGTTGGTTTTGTTTGTTAGTTTGTTTGTTATTATCATTAGAATTTTCTACTCCTGACTTAAACCTTCAAATCTGATGGCACAACGTGGACTTTAGGCCACCAAGATCTGGCTTAAATCTGCAGTTTGGACAGATGGAAATTTACAAAGCCATCTGGCCTTTACTACTGAGCTTATATGATTAATTCAATTGGAATTTCAGTTACTTTCCCAAATTCGATAATATACTGAAGCAAATCTCTTCTCACTTTATAAAGAAATGGGCCTAATTTTAAATTATTTAAATATTGTCCTATATCCTAGATCTTTAATATATGTAATTGTAAAAATATAAAATTTAGGAAAAAGTTAAAGGTTTAGGAAAACAATGATTTATACTTTAACTCAACTCTTTCCACAAAGTTCATGCTGTTAAGTTTGCTTCCTTCAGGAAAATGTTTGAGTTTTGGTGTCACGAACATTTAAGTTGAGGCATGTGCTTTCCAGTTCTGTAAATCAGTGCTCTATTTATAATAAAAAAGTTATTTAATTTTCAAATACATATTTTCATGTTTTATATAATTTTTTAAACTATATGAAGTAAGGTGTACAGTGAGGATATCAGATTGCTTAATTTTTCAATTTTTACACACTGGTCAACAAAGTTATAATCCAGAATTTTCCCAATCTTCTGACTTAGTAAGAAATGATGGACACTGTCAAAAGGAGCAGCACATGCATGCCATATGTGGCTTCTCCATCTCTGGTTCATTAATTAATCAGTGAATTAAGCAAGTATTTATTGAGGGTCTGCCACACACCAGACACCATCCTAAAGCTGCAGGTGCAGCCCTCAGGAAACGAGCCAGACGGCCCTGCTTCCGTGCTGCTCGCTTTTCACACACTGGAATGGACAGACAGGAAACCAAGAAGCGAAACGCACCGTGTGTCAGGTGGTGATGAGGGCTGTGGAATCGGGGAAGCGGCTCGGGATCGAGGTGGGGAAGGGGAAGAGGGTTTTTGACCAAAGACTCTGAAAGACATGAGGGATCAAACCATGCAGAAGTCTGTGGGACTTCCAGGCAGGGATGGCTGCAGGAACACAGCACGAATACTTGTTTGTATGGTGTTTCCTTATTTTTTTATGCTATACTATTTCTAATTTAAAATAAATTCTTCAAATGCTACTGATTTTACAAAAATATTTCTGTAAGGTTTTGCATTTACAGTGTGTGTTTTCACGTACTTTATTTTACTTGTTCTGCATAATAACTTTGTGAGTTATATTTTTTCTGTTCAGAAGTAAGGAAACAGCTGCCAAGTCTCTCAATAGCTGTTTCTTCTGATTTCTAGTTTAGTATGGTTTTTAAATTTGCTTTAATTTTAAATTAAACAGATTTATAGGATTAAAATTCCACATAATCGAAGAATCAGAGTTCAGGAAACATTTTAACATACTGCGCCCTCTGCTGGACATGCCAGAGCCATATAACTTACTTGGCTGACATAGCTGTTTTCAGAAATAAAAAAATGTTTTAAAATTAGAATTATTTTTTAGGTGAATTTTGAGAAGCCAAATAATCTACCCTTGATTTTTTTTCACATGTTAGTATTTCTTTGGGACTTAATGTCTACATCTTCAGTTCATCTTCAGTGAAAACACTTACACTACTTAAAAATAATACAAAAGCAATTTTGCGGTGTGATTGGTTTCTCCCTTAGACCAAAGATGGCGAACTAATTGTTGAAGGAATGCTGGACATTTTCTGGGGAGTCAAACGACCCATACAGCTGAAAATACAAGATGAGAAGCAAATCTCTTCTTTTACAACGTTGAGGTCACCAGACTTCCTTTCCAGTGGAGGGTAAGCTGTCTTTCATGTTTTTAATTCATTAGAGACTATCTTTGTGTCTACTTTTATTGTATGCACTCTTAGGGAAGCTTTAGCTTTTGCATAAGTGCTTATACACCATCTCATTTAATCCCCCAGCTACTCCATGAAGAAGATGTTCAGAAACCAGTGTTCTTTGAAGTTAGGTGATTGGTACGAGATCCCCAAATCACCACGTGGCAGAACTGGACTGGACTTAGTCCTGCAGGCTGCAGAGCCTGTGCTCTTGCCCCTGCTGTATTGCGACCCTCCTTCATTGGAAAGACACAATGGAAGGCAGAATTGGGTTAGCCCTGGCCTACTCTCCCCCAAAATTTGTAATTTCAAGGGGATAAAATTTAAATTTCTCCTCTCCTTGGTACAAAGGGCTCTTACTTAATTATGTTCTATCCAATTGCCCTGATCCCATTCAACAGAGCACCGCAAAGCACATTTGAAGTTAAATAAACACACAAAACTGTTCCCTTTGTGGGTTTATGCAACTGCACCTTGGTATCCAATTTGGACTGACTTTTTCATTACTCCTTACAATTTTTAGAAAAATTAATAAATATTCTCAGCAAGAATCAAGAATCATACCTACAAAAGTTTCTTTCTTCCTTCCTTCCTCCCTCCCTCCCTCCCTCCCTCCCTCCCTTCCTTCCTTCCTTCCTTCCTTCCTTCCTTCCTTCCTTCCTTCCTTCCTTCTTTCCTTCCTTCTTTTGTAGTCCTTAACTTTCTGACTCATTTCCCCTTTGTACATACGTTGAGATACCAAACTTTCTCTTCCTACCATTCATCCTCCCATCCATTCTCAGATGAGTTGGAGTTCTATCAGAAGGAAGGATGGAGAAAGAGCTGCCACAATTTCTCCTCTCTGATCTCTGACCACAACGAAGGAAAACAAGATATCACCTTTAGGGAAGTCTGCTTTCCCTTTGGAGAAAATAGTTAAGCTCCACAGTGATTTTCACATAAGCTGCCAGCATTTTCTAAACATCACGCTCCAGCAATGCTGCACATTTTGCAATTCCCTATACATTTCGGGTAGTTTCTTGCTCTCCTGACTCTCTGCCTGCAAGTCTACTGGCTTTTTGACACCCATTTGCCTGAGTCTCTTCTCACAATCCTTTAAGAATCAGATCAGGTAACATGTTCTCCAAAAAGCTATTTCTGACCCTTAGGTCTGTACCAGGTGCACTGACAAATTTTCTGTGTCATGTTCAGAGCACCTATCTCCCCTCTCTATAGTGCGAGCTTTTCAGTGGTGGGGAGGGTGCCCTATTCATTTTTGCATCCAATGCCCGGCCTTGTGCCTGGCACAAAGAGGGGCTCCAAATTATAGTATCAAGTCCCCAGAAGCCTGTGGTTGAATTACCTCTGCTTTACCGTGACAACTCTCTCTGTCTGCCTTGTCTGACTAGTCTCTGAAGCGAGCTCAGGATTGCCAGTGAGCTTAGGCTCCAGGGCTTAGGGAAGAGCAGGAGGCAGCCTGTGGCCTTAGGCCACCCCAGGGAGCCCTGCGTCCCTCACTTCAGGTACCAGGTGACTCATGGGGCTGATGATCTACATGTCTAGGAGCAGCACTTAAAAGGAGAAATTGCCCAGGGGCCCCGATTTTAGCAAACCGTACAAAATACAAATGCAGAAAATTAGCTATCATACTTCATCTTCTCTAAGAACTCATCACAAAATTCTCTGGGCAGCCAGTTCCTTTTGATGCATTTTAATATTTTGATTCGTGAAAACTTAGTAAGTATGGAGAATTAAAGGAAGGTGTCAAAGAGATGAAAGTAAGGCTCTTAAAATATCACATTAAGCTGTTATTATTTTGAGGCTATTTCAAGATATTTTTAAGTTGTTTATTTTTAATTGAAAAATAATAATTATATATATGTATGGGGTACAATGTGATGTTTTTATATGTGTATACATTGTAGAATGAGCAAAAGAGGCAAATTGGTATGTCTATCACCTCAAATATTTATCATTTCTTTATGGTGAAAACATTTAAAAATCCTCTTTTAGCTATTTTGAAATGTACAATATATTATTATTACCCAAGGTATTTTTTAATTTCTCAAATTCAAAACACATGTTCCCAGCAATTCTGAATTTTAGGATGGGTTTCAAGAGCCCAAGTAGACAAGGTACTATTGATGCATCCTCATATACTGTAGCAGATTATAAAATAATACCTTCATGACACACCTGGAGCAGTTCCCAGCCTTTTTGGCACCAGGGACTGGCTTCATGGAAGGCAGTTGCTCCACAGACAGTGGGGAGCTGGGGGGATGGCAAGAGATGGGGAGTGGCCGTGAATACAGAGGAAGCTTCCCTGGCTCTCAGCTGTCTCTGATGGACAAGAATTAGCAGGAAAAATTTTTTTACTCCTTTTACATACACACAGACTCATATACACACAAGAGCAGCATTAGAGTCAGTTGTGATTTATTAGCCAAGAATAGTTCATGAGAATCAGCGGAACATCCAGGCAGCCAGGCACAGCATAATTTGGAATGACTTTTCCCTGGCCTCTGGCTCTCTAATGGGGTCCCCCTTAGCAACCTAAGGTCCTTTTTTTCTTTCAATTCAATCCTAGACACCCTTACTCTGGTTGCCACCCCTAAGGTAACATTTATTTAAATTCTGAGCCTCATATTCAATTGTATAAAGAAATGGACTTTTCCTTATTCTCGAACTTCCCCCATGTTCCTTTCCCATACTGGGCATCTGGGGGAAGAACTTACACCTCTGCTCTTTTAGGACCACAGATTTGATGTCCCAGTGGGTGAACATAGAGCGAATGATGTGGAAGTTGTCAATTCAGCTGCAGGGAGAGCTGCAATCGTGTGTGTGTGTGTGTGTGTGTGTGTGTGTGTGTGTCTCAGTTCACCCTTTGAGAGAATCATCAGTTTTGTCATGCTAGTTTATTTTAATTATGTTTGAAATGAGTCACACTTAGGAAATATCAACTTAAAGGGAGTGGTAGGAGCTTAAAAATAAATCAGTTTGTTTGAGCTCTGACCACTTGTTATCCTTTATGGAAAGAAAGGTTTCTATGGGCAGCACTTTGATCTTTCAGATCTATTCCAAGTGTTTTGGAAATTTTGCATTGATAAAAAGAAAAGAACCGCCTCTTTAAGGTTATGTTTGCATACACTATTTTCCCACTACTATTGTTAATATCTTTCCAAGTCATATTTTGCATATTTTGACAAGTCATGGCAGAATGACATTAACAGCAGAAACTGGACAGGTGTACATTTGAATAATGTCAATACTGGTTTTTTTCCTACAACAAAGGTAGGGAAGCGATTGTATTCTATTTGTCTGTCAAATTTCTACCTCCTTTTTATTTGGCAACTCTTAGAAAACTTCCCCCAATTGCAGATGGTTTACATCCTGAAGTCTGGTCACAGCAAGGCAAACAGTCCTATGTCTGGGCAAGTTAAGCTATTAACGTTTGATGTCACATAAAGTTCTAGCCAGTTTTCTCTCGAAAACTCTGGATAACTGCCCTCAGGCTTAGTCATGTGCACAGTTGGGGTGACACTTCAAATGACACAATGCAGAGCTGAAAACTGGTGTGTTCTGATATAAAAGGTAGGGAGGAAAAGGAACTGAACTCTGAATATCACAAGCTGCTTTTGTGCCACCACAAAGCTGTAAGAAAGTGAGGAGGGCAACTGCCACATCTTCAAAGTCACCAAGAATTGGCCCGTCGCTCTTAGTGTTCTTGTCTTCCCCCAAACGAAAACAACATCAGGTTGCTTTGTGTTCTTAGTTCTGTTTTTCATTAGTATTCTGTCCTTTCTGTTGCGAGCCCTCCTGCTATGATCATTATGCCTGCCCCCTTTTGATTATAAACCTGCTTTCGATTGGAGAAAATGGATAATTCTATCTGCCTTAAGAGTAATGAGATTCTGAGTCAGGACCTAATTAGTTCTCCTTCGAGTTAAAATTATTACCTATCTTTGGACTTTATGACTTTGTTTGGATTGGCTAAATCTGGATGGTAGAGCTTGCTAGAAATTTAACAGATATATTAAAATTGCCTTATACACTTCATAAGGCTCTTGTGAAAGTCAAATGATAGAATAGATTTAAAAAGACTTCAAAAGAATTCAAAAGTGAAGGGGAAAAAGGATGATTTTTAAAAAATATTCATTACTGTTAGTATTTTTGTTTTTTTGTTTTTTTGAGACAGAGTCTCACTCTGTTGCCCAGGCTAGAGTGAGTGCCGTGGCGTCAGCCTCGCTCACAGCAACCTCAGACTCCTGGGCTCAAGCGATCCTCCTGCCTCAGCCTCCCGAGTAGCTGGGACTACAGGCATGCGCCACCATGCCTGGCTAATTTTTTCTATATAGTTTTAGTTGGCCAATTAATTTCTTTCTATTTTTAGTAGAGACGGGGTCTCACTCTTGCTCAGGCTGGTCTCGAACTTCTGAGCTCAAACAATCCGCCCGCCTCGGCCTCTTAGAGTGCTAGACTATTAGTAATAATAAGCAGATTTTGTGGCCACTAGTGACATTTGGGTAGAGTTAATGCCACAAATTCCCTATAGGTGAATATTTTGTCATAAGGAAAACAGACATTATAAAAGAGACTCTCAGATAATCGTGTCCATTTGCCAGAGGGATCCAGGAATGCTCCGATCCCTAATGGCTTCTGCTCCACCATGAATGAGACAGTTACAGATGATGGTGATTATGATGGTGATGACGATGAAGATGAGGATAACTATCATGATTTTTAATGCATATGGAGTGCTTACTCTATGCAGGTCACTATTTTAAGAATTTTATACACATTAATTCGTTTAATCCTCACAACAACCATATCCTACCTCATACTATTATCATACCCATTTTACAGATGAGGACACTGAGACACTGAAAGGATATATAACTTGTTTAAGGCCATATAAATAAAACAAAAATGACTGTTGGCCAGATGTAAAAATAAGCACTGTCAGGATTTATTTATTCTGAGCACTAGAATGCATCAAAAGTTGCTAGTATTCTGTACAAAATCAATTTTCTAGCAAAAAAAAGTTTATCATATATTTTCCTTCCTTGTAAACTACATTCTTCATAATACCCATAATAATAAGGGCCTCAAAGATAGGCGCAATATTTTGGAGCCACTCTACCTAACAACACTTTGAATACAATAAACAATACATATTGGCAGAGGACACTTTCATGTCTAAACTTTCCTAAGAGTATTATGAAATATCTTTATAACGATTGATTGTGTTGGTTTCTACTAATTCCATTTGGACATTTTACAGAATATAGAATATGTAACCTTGTGTTTCACTGTGTGACTGAATTACTGTGTCAAGATGACAAGATATGCTTTTTTAATAGTACAGGAAGTGTTTAAAACACATGCTGATCACCCTAGTGTGAATACAAGTTTAATAATATCATAAAATGTTACAACTTGATGATATAGCTATCTACCAAGGCCCACGAGTAGTACTATATTAATATCGTAAATATGAATACCATCCTAGGCCTCCATATGAACGGAACTGATGTCATTTACAAGATTTGTTGCTTTTCAGGAGAATGACACGCTGGGGGGAATTTGATGACCTTTATCGTATTAGTGAGATGGACAGGACCCAGATTCCAGTGTCTGAAACAGAGAATTCCCAGGAAGGTCAGTATCCATGTAAAGTGTGACTCTTAAATGTTTCCCTGACATCTAACCCCTTTTACATGCCACTAGTCAGCAAACCCATTATAAAAATATTTTTTTAACTGTCTTTGAAGCATAGTAATTTAAATCACTACAATGCTTATATGATGCTTAAGAACTTTGCTATATAAAAATATGATTTTTTAAAAATTACATCACCACTTAGACTTATTAGATTAGAGAGAACTAATGGTTTGAATAAAGTTTGTCTCATACATTGTTCAATATTTTCCCCAAGGATTAAGATCATTTGTTATTCTCAGTAGCTTTATATGTTAGACAAAGTCCCTAAGACCTAACCCTCTATATTTTTAGAAGTCAAGCATTTTAATTAGTTAATAGATATTTAAACAACACTGCTTCTCAAAGAGAAGCAGATATGCTGAAGACTGTTTATATATGATGGAGTTATTTCAAAGATTTATTTAAGAGAGAGAAATTTACTTAAGTATGAAGGATTCGTATCAAACTTGGCAAACCAATAAAAAATGCCAGCACCTGTGATATGTGCCACTTGTAGTTGTGATGATAAGGATTATGGTGTGACAGCAATCATAATGATGTTGATAGCTGTAATCTGCTGAGACTCAGACATGATATCTTGTATTTTACATGAACTTTTGATGTAACTGTCATATAAACAGATTCCAGGAGTAGCTGGGGCTGATGGCTGAAGCTGGAAGTGGGAGGGGACACTTGGCTCATGTCCCTGAACTGGGCTGAGATGTCACCAGGCCAGGTCAGACTGAACCAGGGTGTCCTGCTGGCATTAACTGCAGAAGCCCAACAACCACTCTCAGCGTTAGTTGTTTAGTTTAGTTTTTTTTTTTTTTTAAACTATTCTCAATTTTGCCCCCTCTGCTGTCTCTATAAGAACATAGATCCTACACAATGTTCCTTCCAGGTTTACCTTATCTTGCTTGGACTTATAGGATCTTAACATCTTGTTATATATGGGCCCTTTCAATTATCTCTTTAAAAATACCCATTAAACCCAAGGTAATCTCAATATTTTAGCATTAAAGACACTATAAAAAAATCTATTTCTATTTTAGCACCAGCACTAGAGAAAGACTAAATACTTTACGCCTATTTGATGATACTCTAATTATAATAGAAAATGATTTAAAATCCCAAAGTAAAATAGAGCACAAATGCCACCAGATGGCCCTCTTATTACATAACAACATGCTTAGTTGAGGATATTGGAATAGGTGCATCTATCATCTGGATACGAGTAGGAAAGGGGGAGGAAGGCAGAGTGGAATCTTCTAAATCTTAGGCTAGTCATACATTCTAGCTTTGCCCAGTTCCATTTAAAAACTCTCTGCCCACCCAACAGATACTAGGTCAGTACAATGCTATGCTATAATTTTATGATCTAAAATCTGCTATAGAAATTGCAATCACTTAATAAACAAATTTTGACTAGTAGATTATGGATCATTGTTGAATATACATAAACCAATGAGAATAATAGAATAGTGAGCAATAAAGGGGAAAAGTCATTCATATACTTCTGGAATGTTCTGGAAAGACTATTATATGAATTATCTCTGTGATATATTACTAGTAGGCACTAATCCAAAGCATCCTATTCCTTTATTTTTTCTTTTTTTTGAGACAGAGTCTTGCTCTGTCACCCCAGCTAGAGTGCCGTGGCATCAACCTAGCTCACAGCAACCTCCCAGGTTCAAGTGATCCTCCTGCCTCAGCCTCCCAAGTAGCTGAGACTATAGGCAGGTACCACTACATCTGGCTAAATGTTTCTATTTTTAGTTGAGGTAGGGTCTCTATCTTCCTCAGGCTGATCTCAAACTCCTGGGCTCAAGCAATCCTGCCACCTTGGCCTTCCCGAGTGCTCAGATTACAGGTGTGAGCCCCATGCCCGGCCTCCTTTTGCTTTTATAAAAAATGGGAACAAAATTCTTTCAAGGCTCCACAGACCACATAAATGGCTTCTCAAGGATCTTTCTGTAGTTTTGTCAGGAAAATAAGGCCCAACGTCTGTTTTTTTTAGGGTAGGCCCAATAAACTAAGAGCCCAAGTAAAACAGGGATCTAGACCTGCTTCTGCCACTGATAAGCACGGTGTCTGTGGAAAGCTGCTTCAACTCACTGTGCTGTACCTCAACTATGGCGATCCTGGTCTGATAGAGTATCAGGTTTCATATAGCTCTAATACTCTGAAATGCTATATGATGCACTCTCGTCAAAATAAAGTAAGATTGAAAGAATGCTCAAACACCAAACGTGATCATTGTGGTCATTTCTTATGAGACCTAAGAATTTCATACAAGACACTGGGGGAATTTGCTGAGTCAGTCTCAAACAACATTTAATAGGTAAACATACAGCTAAGCAGTGGACTCTAATGCCTTTAAACAGCCAGGAAATAGCAATATTCCTAAAATTAATGAGAACATATGCAAATCCACCCAGGATGCAAGGAGATAGGCAGCTAAATGATATGGGCTTATAATCTTTATCTTCCCAGACTATTTATCTTATCACAGCAGCACTCTGAAGACACATGCGGATGAAAAGCCAGAATCCCCGCTGCTCTACAGAACCATGAGTGAAGCCACCCTGGTGAGGAAAAGGAGGAGTTCTCCAAGGATGAACAGAAAAGACAGACAGAACCACAGGGCTTCTATTAACGGGCACTTCTATAACCAGGAAGTGAGTGATAATTCCATCAAAGTAATTTAAAATAATGTTGCCTATTGCACTAACAATACCACTCAATTTAACTTAGAATTAAAATTAATAATAATAGTCTAACATTTACTGGGCACTCCATATGTTCTAGGTATTAAATAAGTGTTTTAAACAGATTTTTAATGAATTATCTCATTCATCACTGAAACAATCCAACGAAGCAGGAACCATTTTTTCTGTACTTTACATATGAGTTCACTGAGGTTCATGGAGGTTAAGCAATTTGTCTCGGGTCACACCACTTTGAAGCAGTAACTCTGAACTGGAACTCTTGACTGGCTCCAGAGTGCAAGTCCTTAACCAAGGTGACAGGTGACTTCCACCTACGTGGCAGGCACGGTGCCACGCGTGAGACACATGCAGACGAGTCAGCTGACACCTCTGCCAGCGTGGAGCTCAGGGCGTGGGAAGGGAAACCAACATGCCCACAGTAACAATGTCAGAGTAACGTAAGGGCTACGATAGAGGTTGGTTCAAAGGACATTTGGACACTAACATTTAAATAAAAAAAGAGTCAGTCACAAGCCTGCTAATTCCCATAAATCGAACTTCTCATTTTGCCATCTTTGCCTCCAAGTCTTATACCTACCTACACACATATCATTTTTAATACAAGTGCAATTGTAGTTTAGACACAATTTATATTCTGATTTTTCATTGAATATGTGTTAAATGTATATGCGACATCCATAGTACATGTAAGACATTTCGTTTTTCAGAAGGCAAGAAATATATCACCATCATTTTCCAGAACTCGAATATTTTTCATGTCATTTACTGTAGTCGTCATTCATTCACTCACTTAACACCCACAGAGCAGTGACGCTGTGCCTGGGCCCTCCATTCCTTTGATAAGAAACCCTAACTCATTTTCTCTAGCCTCGCTCCTGTAGGGCTTTCTGCCTCATTCCTTTTCCTTCCACCCTTGGGCGGGTGTCAGTAGTGTGCCTTTGCAGTCTGGTGGGGGGAGACCTCCTTGTTAATTAATTCCTTGTTCACATCAGACATTGTTTTGGTTCAAGAATCATCCTCCTGGCTCTAAAGTAGAATCGACAGTCCCCACAGATATGCAACTACCAATTGCCCTGATTTCTTCCTCTCCTCAGAAATTATGCTTTTTGTCATTATCTTGTAGGGTGATGTGTGTTAAAGAAGGAAAGTCACACTACCCCGAACCAATGGCTGTCAGAAGGCATCACTCCGGCTGAGAATGAAATCAGCGCTAAGTCGGCAGTACAGCATAGTGGTTAAATGCCTGGGCCTTCAAGCTTGACAATCTGATTTTAAATTCTTGCTGAGAAAAATTTAAAAATTGTTTAATCTGGGTTGGGCACAGTGGCTCATGCCTGTAATCCCAGCACTTTGGGAGGCTGAGGCAGGGGGATTGCTTAAGGCCAGGAGTTCAGACCAGTCTAGGCAACATAGTGAGGCCCCACCTCTACAAAAAAATAAAAAAATTAGCCAGGCACAGTAGTGCATGCCTGTAGTCCCAGCTACTCAGGAGGCCAAGGTGGGAAAAAATTGCTTAAGCCCAGAAGTTCAAGGTTACTATGAGCTGTGAGCATACATACCATTGCACTCCAGCCTGGGGTGACAGATCAAGACCTTGTCTCTAAAAAAAAAAGAAAAAAAAGTTACTCAATTTCTTGGTCTTAGTTCCTTCATCCATCTAACTTGACAAGGTTTTTGATAGGATTAAATGAAATGAGGTGAGTTAAACACTGAGCACAATAACTGGCACAAAGGAAGAACTCCATTTATGTTAGCTTATGTTATTGCTGTGAACTGAATGAGATCAAGCTGGGACAACAGCTATGTCATTCTCCGCAATCTAATAACTGCCAGAAAACAATAAAAACAAAAAGAAAATCCCAAATCCAAAACACTGCATCAATAGGTATACAATGGTGGATACCTAGGAATTTTAGCTGATATGTTTCATAAGTTGCCGTGTGTCGTAAGATGTGTTTTTACACCATGAACCCTTTGATGCCAATATTGGTAGGCCAGGAATAACACACGTATTAAACTCTTAGATTGTGATATTTGGTGATCAGTTATGGTGACTATGACTTGGCTGACCAGTAGCATATTTCTACCCATGCAATAATAAATGATTTTATAACAGTGTTCTATTATGTGTTTTGGCCAACACAACTAATATAAAGAATATGGAATTAAAATAAAGCTCTGAAAAACATGATTCCAAAGTCATCATCTGTTGGCATTTTAGAAGGACTATTGAGATCATCTAGTCCTACTCTAGACATTGAGGCTTCAAGATGTCAAGTGAGTAGACAGTTAGAATTAGTAGACACTAGGATCTAGGTCTCTTGAATCCTAATGTAATATTATTGTCATTCTCCATGGAAGTCTTTCATATAAACAACATCAAACCACACATCCAACATACTCTCACCCTAGCGCAGAATGGATGCCTGAGTCTGCAGGGGTCTGCAGAGCTCGTAAGTGTCACAGAACAACTCATCCATGCTCTAAAATATCCACAAATATTGAACTTCTTCATACATACTTATAAAAGTTTATCCCAAACATCCTCCACATATCTTCTCAGAAAACTGATTAATAAACCCATATCTTTACTCACACATATTCCATGCATATAGATGCTTTGATGGTTATTTACTGATCTCCCAATTCTAGGACACATCTAATACTCCGATGAGCCACCCCAAGACCATGCATCTCCAAATCTGCTGAACCCACCCCACTGCTACAGAGTCTTGGAACACTTGGAGATTGCACATATCAATGCAATAGGTGGAAACAAACCTTTACTTAACATTCTTTTGTATTTTAAATACTCATCACATGACTGTCTTTCTTACTTGCTGCTACCTAGTCAACAAGACGTTTTCTTTTTTTTATGTTCTGGCATATACGTACTTGTATTTCTTCCAGGGTGAGGGTCATAAGTTATACATATACCATCTATTACCTACCTGTGAGTCTCCATTTGCTATTTTTAAAAAATTTCAACATATATCACTTATATCAAGAATTTAAAAACAGTTTTATCTACTTACGATTGTTACGAGAATGAAGTTAGTTAATATTTATAAATGGTTTGGAATAATTCTTGGTACATAGGACTATGCCAAATCAATAATGTGGGAATTCTATGACATCCTTTGGAATAATATCATCACTTTCAGGAATTATATATTCTATTGTTTGATCCCATGGGTACATGTACAGAAGAATAGTTGAAGATTAATTATCATATTAAAATCTGGAATATTTTTCAGACAAAGGTATTTTGCTTCTCAGTATCACCAAAGCCTAAGCTGGATGAATATAAAAGCGTATACTTGGCCTTGTCAATCCTAGGAAACTCTCTCTTACTAAGTAAAGCCAGAGGCTTATCTTTTTATCTATTAATTAATAAGAAAATAGTCTCATCTCACTAAAATAGCGACAATGTAATAGTTAAATTCAGAACACTAATAACATTTATAGTGTCATATACCTGCCATAAACAGGACAAAAGATTAATCTTTATAGATAGAAAGTCTATAAATTGCATAAGAAAAGTACTAAGCTCTGCACAGAAAAAAAAGGAAGGTAGATGGTGTAGAAAAAAAAATTACAGAAGAGGAGAATACAATAATACTACTAAATGTATGAAACAAAAGTATCTTAATAGTGATCAACTGTGTTAATCGTTGTATCCAGTCAGGAGACAGAATCCGTGCAGTAATTTAAATAGGGGAATTTAACTAACCTAAAGAATTATAAGCTGTGATAGGAGAGTAAGATAAAGGTGGAAGAAGACTCTAAGGGTCCCTGAGGCCAAGGAGAGAACTCTAAAAATGGAAAGCTTGGAACAGGGGGTTCGGAATTCGCTGGAGAAGGCGGGTTGTAGCGGGAAGACAGGAGAAGCGTGCTGGGTCGCCGGAGCAGGACGGCAGGTGCCAGGCGAGCAGGCGCGCCCCTCTGCAGTGCGGATGGCGCTGAGCGGGTGGCAGCCGGAGGAACCTGGCATTGCCAAGGGTGGCACAAAGGAGTCAGGGCCCTCAGCCTGGGACTGAGAGCTGGAGGGCCTCCTTTGCAGGAACCTGCCACAGCTCTCTGCGAGATTCGGGCGGGGCATCTTTGAGGCTGCTAGGACAAAGTCAGGCAAGTGGCTCCCCAGTTGGCCTGCGTCACAGGGCTGTGATGGGAGCAAAGGACAGCATGCTCCAGGGCTCTAGGTTTTACCACCACTGCCCAGATCAAATCTGGAGACGCACGTAGGGGAAA